AGACATTACAAAGTAAGCTTTTGGAGCCTAGTTTCTGCCTTAGCTTTAGTAAGACATTTAAAAGTAAGTCTTTAGAACCTACTTTCTACCTTCGTTTCAGTAACACATTACAAAGTAAGCTTTTGGAACCTACATTCTGCCTTCCCTTCAGTAAAACATTTCAAAGTAAGCTTTTGGAACCTACTTTCTGCCTTCAAATGGGCTTTAAGACTCAACGTGTAATTACATCTCTTACCTACTGAGAGATTTAAAGCTGAAATACAGCCAACAGCTAAATTCACAATTGAAATACATCTGTGGGACCTGTTTTACCTGCCAAAGTTTTTTTTGTAGGTTTGTTCATATACATGTCGATCCTGAATACGGCTGCCAGACTCATTCACCTTTCCAACCGCTCCGTTTCCACCACCCCCCTCTGCCAATCCCTCCACTGGCTTCCGATTGCGCAACGGATCAAATTCAAAATCCTAACACTGATGTACAAAGCTGTCCACCATACTGCCCCGAACTACATCACTGACCTAATATCCAAGTACCGCCCATCACGCACACTCCGCTCCTCACAAGACCTCCTTCTCTCTAGTTCCCTGGTCTCCTCCTCCCATGCCCGCCTCCAGGACTTCTCCAGGGTGTCACCCATCCTCTGGAACTCCCTGCCCCAACCCATCAGACTATCACCTACTCTCCTCTCCTTTAGGCGCACCCTGAAAACCCATCTCTTCAGGGAAGCCTACCCCACCCCCTGCTAACCTGCCGACCTCCTCCACTTTTCCTACTACTCCATCCCCCACAGCTATCTCCTCCTGTACCACTATCCCCTCCCTCCTAGATTGTAAGCTCCAAGGAGCAGGGCCCTCGATCCCCTCATGTTTTGCATTGTATTGGTATTGTTCTGTCACATGTTCTGTCCCCCTTTGTAATGTACAGCGCTGAGCGAACTATTGGCGCTTTATAAATACTGTATAATAATAATAATAATACAGTAGTGCTGAGATTTACACAGCTCTGCTGGACAGCAGAGCCAGCCTGGTGACCTGACTTTTCTCTCCTGCGGTAAAGGCTAAGTTCACCTTTGGAACAGGGGTGTATTTACCACAAGGCAAACAAGGCACTTGCCTAGGGCGGCATTTTTCAGGGGGCAGCACCTCCCTCTAGAAGAAGGGAAGAAAGAAGGGACAAGCGCACCATGGGAACCAGGTGGGATCCAAGAAAGGCTGCAGCCTGTTTGATGGTGTATGTAGAGCCTGACTCTCACTCCCGGGGATGTCCAGAGCTGTGAAGATGAGTGTCTCTCTATCGCCGGGGGGGGTAGTGGAAGGCTCGTTGTTGGTCAATGTCATTCTCTCTCTGTGGGAGGGGGAAGGGGGGGTTGTGTTGGTCGGTGTCCATGTGAGCATATGGTTGTCACGTTGCCTAGGGCAGCACAAAACCTAAATACACCACTGCTTTGGAACATGTTACACCTTACACCTGTTTAATTTGTTCCAGCATCTCCTTCCCCTTCCCGCCCTCCCTATGACAGCAGGTGGGGATCTTCTCCCTGAACCTGCTGTCACAATTTGAAAACAGCGCAGCTGTGCAGGGCTTCGTCTACATGGCCACATCATTCATTCACAGTTTGCTGTGAATAGATAGACTACAAGCACCATCAGCCATTGGAGCTGACAGCTTGTAGTTATCAATGAACGACGAGGGTGCAGGTGAGCGCGCTGGTAGTCCATTGATCTTCCTGCTCTCAAGCAACTATGTGCCCATAGGAGACAGCTATCCTGTGAGCCTGCGGAAGCCTGAGATTGCACCCACGATCTGCTGATCACAGGTGAAATGCTCTGCAGGCTCCTTCAAAAATAATTAACGCCCATTTTTTTTATTTGCAAACAAAATGTGCATTTATTTATTTAATTTTTTCCAGAAGTGAACTTAGCCTTTCAGCAAAACAATATGTTTACCTCTCCCCCAGGATGTGATTGGACAGTGAAGAGCAGCAGAATACCAATTAGTCACCCCTTAGCTCCTAAATACTGTCGGTATTTCTTGTCAAAATGTGTATATGCAGCACACCTGATTGGTTCCTAATGTTGCCCCTCTTTGTCCTTATCTAAATGCTGCTGTTCAGGTTCGTGATGGTTTAATGAATACAAAACAACACCAATGCATGTTTATTTCTATCTGCTTCAGCTTTACCCATTTGATGACAGTCATCTCATTAGTAGCTCAGTGATTTCAGTGTTCTGCACATGAGGCAACTGCCAACAAGTAGTGAAAACTCTCAGTAGAAAAGAGATTTAACGGCAGAGTATCCCCAGCCTTACACATTGATAAGATTATATACATTATGCTTTCTCTTTTACATAAATTTGTAAATATAATTGAAAAGACTAATCATGTTTGAACAGGCCTTAGATGATCATTAAGGCCATTTGGGAATCTTAGTATGCCACTGGCAACTTCAGTCAATGCTCAGGCATGCCCCCAGCATCACTCATTGCAATGCACCATGGCTTTCTCCATAATAATTACTCACTTTCCTTTAATTTCTTATGTTAAGTTCATTACCTGTCGAATGTCAAAGGTTTACATTTTAAAGTGCCTGCAAACCCAAACAATAAACTTCTCCTATATCCTCTTTTTTGGTCTGTTAAATATTCCACTGAAAGCATGTTGGTATATCTGATCAAAACATGCAAAAAACATGCGTGCTGATCCTCCCAGAAACGTAGTGCTGTACTGTGACTTGTGAACTCTACAGTTTCATCTCAAACAATGTTATCAGGAAGTGTGTTAGGACTACAGAACCCATCCCTGACAAAGGATTCTTGTGCAACTCAGAAACGTGACACTTTGCTGTGATGTGATCACTTTTCAATAAAAAAAAAAAACAATTGGACAAGGGGCGTTCTGACAACTCATGGGGCCCCGGGCAATAGGAGAACATGGGGCCCTCTGTGTCCCCACCCACACTAAAGCCACACCCACACAAAGTCCCACCTACATATTGCACTGACCACATTACATGCGTTTTGTCACAGAATTTCTCTACACTATGTTCAAAATAAATGTTTATTATAGAAATTAAAAAAAAACTTACATTAAAGAAAACACAAAAAATTAAAAAAATTAAAAATAAAAATCTCTGACCAGCATGTTACAAAACCATTAAAGAGCTAAGTTCAGGTGACATCTTGGCAAATCTGTCACCTGTCCCACTATAAGTTGCTGATCACCGCCATTACCAGTATAGTGTCTGTAGCTGTATATATTCCAGTATATATCCCATAGAATGTAGACGTTATAACTTTCACATAAACCAATCAATATACACTTATTGGGATTTTTTACCAAAGACATGTAACACCCCTTCCCTAGGCAATTACTGGAAAGATCACCAGGTGAAAATAAAGGGGAAAAAACAAAACACATCTATAGAGTGGGAAGCTGCAATGCATTAAATTTGCCTTATTAAGGTTAGCCACCCTTTAGCACTGAGCACAGGGGTGTGTTACGCACTATTCTTGCACCCTAACATACAGAGTAAACATGCATTTTGAACATGGTCCTAACTGGCAAATCAGGATGGGTCCGAATATTTTTTTTTTTTTCGTGGAAATTAGATAAGTAGACAGTAGTGTGTGTATTTCTCTCACATAGTTACGTAGTTGGAAAGGTTGAAAAAAGAACCAGTCCATCCAGTTCAGCCTGTGAACATGATTTCTTTAGTCCAAGATGGCAATTCTGGTGAAAACATGACTGTAAAAACCTAATCCAATATGCTGTTTTTTTGTATAACTGATTTCAGATTTTCTAAAAATGATAATTCAGTCAATCCTCCAATGTTCTTACACATACACTTGTGTCTTTAGTTACACCTCTGCCTGCCAATGTAGAATTCATAACTTAAAGAAGAACCCATTAGTACACCCCCTACACAAAACACTAAACAGGTAATAACATTTTGAAAATCCTTACCATTTAGGAGAGACGTCTAATTGAATTTTCATGACCTCATCTTTGTAATTCAAAATATAACAGCATCTGCTTTGCCAAGAAGGAGGTGTAACAGCAGGAATTACATCATATCCTTGCTCTCTGCAGTAAATGAAAACTACAGTTCCTATCAACCACAAGGAATTGTAGTGAATGTGGGCGGGTACACTAGGCCTGCACATGTTGAATTTGTCTGAGAGTCTTGGTCTGTCCACCACAGAAAGTGGGGCTGAATTACATTACTGCTTCTTGTAGAAAGAACTACAGAAGGGATGTGCCAAGACCAGTGGATGGGGAAATAGGAAGCATAGCAGCCACCGGTCTTACAAACAGGGAACCAAAGAGAGTTAATGGTTTGATTTTAAAATGAATAGGTTCTTTCAGAGCAACTACTGAGTGAATCAAAAGATGGATGGCATATTCAGTGAAGGAAGTAAATCAGCAACAAGGACATGTAAAGAGGTTTTTGCCCAGAGTTCTGCCTGTGCAAACCACAAAAAAAACATTGAGTACATCTCTGTAATGCCCCATGTTTTATCCCTTTATCGATGCTGTAATTGCAGAAAAATTGTTGATTCTGTCATAATAGAACTATGATCCTAATTCCTAATTTTTCTACCTCACTGATGTGCTTTGATGAGGCTGCACTGATAGGCAGCACTGATGGGCACTGATAGATGGCACGGATGGGCACTGATAGGCAACACTGATGAGGTGGCACGGATAGGCAGCACTGATGGACACTGATGGGCAGCACTGATAGGCAGCACTAATGAGCTGAGCTGGCACTGATGAGGCAGCACTGATGATGCTGCACTGATATGCAACAATGATGGGCAGCACTGATGAGCACTGATAGGTGGAACTGACTGATGGCACTAAATGGCGGCATTGCTGGGCACTGATGGGTGGCACTGCTGGGCAGCACTGCTGGGTGGCACTGATGAGGGCACTGCTGGGCACAGGTGGGTGGTACTACTGGGCACAGGTGAGTGGCACTACTGTGCACTGATGGGCACAGGTGGGTGGCACTGCTGGGCACTGAAGGGTGGCACTGCTAGGCACTTGTGTGCGGCACTGCTGGGCACAGGTGGTCGGCACTGGTGGGTGGCACTGCTGGACACTGATCATTAGGGAACTGATCATCGGTGCCGATCTGTCCTCTGACAATTGCCGGTTACCATCAGTATTTTCAGCGTGAGGAAAGTGCAGCCGATAACCGGCAACTGCATTTACCGGTGATCTGCTGTGTCATTGGACACAGCTGATCATGCGGTAAAAGGCCGCTTTGATTGGCCATTTACCACATCACGTGATCAGCTGTGTCCATAGGAGATCGCCGGATGCGCACCCCCGGGGTTTATTGGAGGACATCATATGACACCCTTCCAGTACTGGACAACCCCTGGTGACACAGATCCCGTCCTACCTGCGAGATACTAAGCAAGTTTTGAGAGTTATCAAAGATGTAACCACAACACCTACCACCTTTCTTGTCACTGTCAATGTTTAATCACTATATAGCAATATCGACCACAATGAGGGCATCAAGGCCACAGATTATTACTTAAGACACGAGAGTTCATCGTCCTCACCTCACATCAATTTCATTTTGGATCTACTTAACTTTGCTATGAATAAAAACTATCTATGGTTTGATGATAAATATTTCTTGCAAATTAAAGGGGTGGCGATGGGAGCCAAATTTGCTCCCAGCCTAGCCAACCTCTTTATGTCCTTCTGGGAGGAGGACATCATCTAAGCTAAGGATTGGCCTGAGCTGACCCTGTACAAGCTCTATATAGATGACATTTTGTTATTATGGAATGGTGATGAACAATCCTTATACATTTTTTTGGCACTTTGAATAACAATGACATCAATATTAGATTATCATACAACTATAGTGTGGTTGAAATTAATTTTCTGGATTTAACCCTAATGAACTCTGACGGTAAATTAACTACTAAATCCTTTTTTAAATCAACGGACCGCAACAGCTATATTTCCACCGACAGCTGCCACCACCCAAGTTGGTTGGCCAATATTCCTAAGGGCCAATTCCTCAGAATTAGGAGGAATTGTACAGATATTGACAATTACTACCAACAGGCCTCCATTTTAAAAAACAGGTTTTTAGAAAAAGGCTACGATAATAAGGTCCTTGGAGAAACTCTTAAGTCGGTGGCGGTTATAGATAGAGGCGACATACTAGATGATAGTACGAGATCAACTAAGAACCTAGTCTGTCTTTTCATAACTAATTTTTCTACCCAACATAGAGCTATACGTAATATCATTCTGAAAAATTGGGGTATACTTAGAGCGGACCCTGTACTATCAAAAGTCTTACCTGAAAAACCTGAAGTAATTTTCCGTAAAACCACCACACTTAGAGACATGATATCCCCCAATGTTGTCAACCCCCCTACCCGGTCCCCAAATCTTTTTGATCTCAAGTGCTTTTATTCCTGCAACAAGTGCATTATATGCATATGTAACAGCATAAGGAAAAAGAAAGTTGTCACTTATACATCATGTCACACTGGGAAGACGTGATATAGACAAGTTCATTTGTTGCAACAGTAAATATGTTGTTTGTCTGTTAGAGTGCCCTTGCTCTAAACAGTACATGGGGCGTACCACTAGGAGACTGAGAGACCGCCTACGAGAGCACGTCTATAATATTAAAAAAAGGATACAAGGAGCATTCCTTGTCCCTGCACTATAGACGCTATCATAATAGAGATCCCTCTTCGCTGAATTTTATAGGGATTGATGTAGTAACCCTGCACTGGAGAGGTGTTTACAAAACCAGAGCGGTCTCACAAATGGAAACCAGATATATTTATGAACTGGGCATTTTACATCCTAATGGTCATAATGTGGAAATCGATGTAAACTGTTTTATCGATAACAGTTAAATGTTTCACACAATATGCACCTACCTCATGAAATATTTTCATTATGAATTGGGTTGTGTTTTTATGGTCCTTTTATGTTTTCCTTGAAGATGTATTTCTTTGATACTTTTATTACTTTAATATTTTTATTATTTTTATTGCTTGGTGTTTGCATATTATTACATTCGTGTGATTGTTAGTTTGCCAATTATGGCATTCGTTTTACATTCGGTTGGTTATTCCATTTTTGCCGTGGCTTTTGCATTTTGTTTTTATGGTGTTTCTTATTATCGCTTTATCATTTGAGATAATTTATCCCTTTTTTAATTTTTAATGTCCATGGTTTTGATTTATATAGTTTTTTTATACTATTTAATGAGTAGTTTATAGGTGCTTTAATGCCTTTTTTACTCTATTTTTATTAAAGAATCAATATAATTTTATTTTATCAATACTTGAATTGGACATAATACATTATGACTATTTACTTATTTCCAATATTCTGTACAGTGATATGTCTCATTGGGAATATACTAAGAATTGGACATTATCATTAATCTTTAATATTATTTATTGATACCCTTTCCCACATCGTTAGTGCACTTTGCTTGGATGGTATCATTATATGTCATATGTCGTTATTACCATTATTGTCCTCAGTAACGCACCTTACTGACCGTTTACATCGGTTAACCAGGCTGATTTACCACTATGTCCATGAAATCCATGGCAAAATGGTGCCACACATGTGCGTGGTTAGCATTTATGTTTTTGGTCTTTGGCAAAATACCGCTGACATTACGCACAGGCGCCATTTTCCCTATAAATTGAATGGATCGCATAGATGGCGTCATTTGGTATCCACCCTCTGAAGAAGTGCGTGCGCACGAAATGCGTTAGGAGGAGCCAAAGACATGATGTCACGCCATCGGTGCCACGTGGAGGCCCGGCGGCCATCTTAGTTACTGGATGAGCCCTCTATGATCCAGCCTCCACAGTATCCAGAGAGAGGAGTCCCTTATCCAGGCTTCTACAACCCGTCCATCCCTTTAACTACTTGCCAACCGCAGATAGCCGAATGACGGCTACACTGCGGCCGGCTAGTTCTGGGAGGGCGTCATATGACGTCCTCCCAGAACGCGCTCTCCTGTGTGCCACCCGGGGCGCGCACCCGGCGATCTCCGTGATCGCACGTGATGTGGTAAAAGGCCAATCACAGCGGCCTTTTACCACGTGATCAGCCGTATCCAATGACACGCTCATCACCGGGAAATACAATTACCGGTTCTCGGCTGCACTTTCCTCACGCTGTCAGAGCATGAGGAAAGTACTGCCGAGAACCGGCAGTTGTCAGAGCAGGGATCGGCACCGACCATCAGGGCACTGATGATTAGTGCCCTGATGATCGGTGCCCAGCAGCGCCACCCACCAGTTCCGCCCACCTGTTGCCAGCAGTGCCGCCCACTAGCTCTCCCCACCTGTGCCCAGCAGTGCACCCACCTGTGCCCAGCAGTGCACCTACCTGTGCCCAGCATTGCCCACCAGTGCCACCCAGCAGTGCCACCTACCTGTGCCCAGAAGTACCACCTACCTGTGCCCACCAGTGCCATCCACCTGTGCCCACCAGTGTCACCCACCAGTGCCCATCAATGCAGCCCAGCAGTTGCACCAGTCAATGCCTAGCAGTGCCGTCAGTCAGTGCCCAGCAGTGATGCCAGTCAGTGCCACCTATCAGTGCTGTCTATCAGTACCCATCATCAGTGATGCCAGTCAGTGCGCCTATCCGTGACACCTCATTACTGCTGCCTATCAGTGCCGCCTATCAGTGCCCTTCAGTGCTGCCTATCAGTGCTGGCAATCATTGCCCATCAGTGCTGCCTCATCAACGCACATCAGTGAAGGAGAAAAATTACCTGTTTGAAAAATTTCATAATAGAAACAAAGAAATTTTTTTTTTTCACATTTTTTGCACACTTTCTGTTTATAGCGCAAAAAAGTAAAGCACCCAGCGGCGATTAAATACCACCAAAAGAAAGCTCTATTTGTGAGAAACAAATTATAAAAATTTCATATGGGTATAATCTTGCATGACCGCACAATTGTCAATCAAAGTGCGACAGTGCTCAATGCTGAAAATTGGCCTGGTAAAGAAGGGGGTATAAGTGCCCAGTAGGCAAGTGGTTAAGGCATCTCCGGCCAGCTGGACCATATCCCCATCTGTAAGCTCCTGAAAAGCACCACCATACTCAGAAGGAGGACAGCCCAGGATTAGGACCCCACCAACATCTAGGCGAGACCTCCACAGTGCTATTTAATGTGTATTTACTTTACGCATCTGCTGAGTGTGTCATTCTTCCATAGGTTATTGGAGCACTGATTGAAGAATCCACAGCTTATGTGCACCCAGATCTTAACTGACTATTATTTTTTTGGCATACTCATGAATGTTATTATTTGTTTTATAGTGCTGCGCCTTTTATTTATTTTATGTCTTTGAAGGTTTTTACTATTGGTTGCCTTTGGTGTTCTAGCTGCTTTTAAAGAGAGCACTCGCTTCTTCTTTTATGTTTTAGTACTGGACAACCGCGCTGTAACCTTCATTCAGCTATAGCGCATTTTGCAAGTGGTTAAAGTTGTAGTAAACTCTCATATATTGTATATATATTATATCTCATATATTATTTTTACCTACAGGTAAGCTTACCTGTAGGTAAAATGAATATCTCCTAAACGTGCACCTCTTAAAAGATATTCTAGCGACAAGCAGCCGGTGGCATCACCGGCGCATGCGCTGTGAAGGAAGGGCATACCCCTGCCGTTCCATCAGAGCTGTGTGCCACGACCAAGACTCCCACGTGCATGCCAAGTGTCCGCAGCCCACTAACCCGGAAAGAAAACCAGGTGAAGATGGAAGCTGCTGTAGCAGTGACAGTGTGCTGCTAGACGTAAGACCTTCATAATGTACTAGTATATAACTCGCACATTATGCCTTTGCCTTGCAGGGGAAAACTTTTTTTTTTTTTTTAGAGTTTATTACTGCTCTAATTGATGATTGCTTGACACATAGAACAACAGAGTACAGACAACTGGTTATTACTCACAGATAAATGATTGGACATTGACATTTATTCTTTTATATACATTCAGGTAATTTTTTTCAGTTCGTGATTGCAGCTTTAATTATTCACACACTTGTGCGCAGATAATTACATACAGCATTTTTACTTGCAGATGATTGCATGTTGGAAGTCAGCAGAGCTTCACCTCATTCGCTAAGCACTGGGCAGATTCCCTTACAATTCAATAGATTTTATTGGTATACAGAAGAATCCAGTAACATGTACAGATACAAGAAACTATAAAATTGCAAAACATGAAGTGACAATAAACAGAATGGTATACAAAGAAATAAACAGTCTTATTATTATTGGCATATGTGCAGATAATTGATAACGGCAGCAGAAAGGGTGTCAATGTACATGTCAATAGACACTCAAAACTGAATGCTACTAATGGAGTGGATGGTTTTAACGTAAGATTCTAGATGGAAGAGAAGGATAATAACAATTAAGGGAGAAAAGCATCTGGGGAGAAGAGAGGTAGCAGAAAATTGGGGGGGGGGGGGTGCATGGCAAGAGGTAGAAATATGGCATGGAGAATTTGCAAGTATTGGGGAAATTCTCTTTGAAAGTGCATCCACCCTCCAAACTGCACAGCCTATTTGCTTTTAGTAGTAGATTTTGACTGAATCTCTAAAAATATACATTTTAATATACTTAATGCACTCATGTGATTTTAAAAGATGTTTTCAATCTTTAAAATATGCAGCTTTATTAGGGGCCCACTTGTGTGTTAGACAATGTGTACTGAATAGAGCAAGTTAACGTCCACTTCCACAATGCCCCTGCTCTATGAGTAGTACATTGCATAGTGAATAGTACTCCCACACATTGTTCGGTAGAGCACAGCACACACTGCAGTGTACCACAATGCTCATACCATCAATATATATTTTTTCATCAGTTGGTGAGCCTTGTCTGGGAATTCATAATGATTGGACTACCTTAAAGCGGTAGTAAATTGCCACAAAAAAAAAAAATCGGGCCCCAGCAGGTTTAAATGATAATGTACTAGTAAGCACATTATGACAGTCTTACCTGGACATGGCGCCTTTCCAGTACAGCACTGTCACGGCTCCCGGGCGCATCCATCTTCACCTAATTCATGGACTCTGGCTGTATGAATGACCAGGGCCACAATGACTTCACACTCCCTCGCATGCACACAGAATCCCCGGCCCCAAGCTCTGAAGGTACAGCATACTATGCCATCCCTTCTGAGCGCATGCGCCACTGATGTCACCCGCTGCATGCTGTGTAAATATCTTCTAAACAGTGCAAGTTTAGGAGGTACAAGTTAAAAAGTGGCCTTTACTTCCACTTTAACTAGTTCACTAGTGTGAATTGGCCCTCAAAGAATACCTAAAAATACCTAAGAAAAAAAAAAAAAATATATATATATATATATATATATACAGGTGAAACTCGAAAAATTAGAATATCGTGCAAAGTTCATTTATTTCAGTAATGCAACTTAAAAGGTGAAACTGATATATGAGATAGACTCATTACATGCAAAGCAAGATAGTTCAAGCCGCGATTTGTCATAATTGTGATGATTATGGCTTACAGCTCATGAAAACCCCAAATCCACAATCTCAGAAAATTAGAATATTGTGAAAAGGTGCAATATTCTAGGCTCAAAGTGTCCCACTCTAATCATCTAATTAAGCCATAACACCTGCAAAGGGTTCCTGAGCCTTTAAATGGTTTCTCAGTCTGGTTCAGTAGGAATCACAATCATGGGAAAGACTGCTGACCTGACAGTTGTGCAGAAAATCATCATTGACACCCTCCATAAGGAGGGAAAGCCTCAAAAGGTAATTGCAAAAGAAGTTGGATGTTCCCAAAGTGCTGTATCAAAGAAAATTAATAGAAAGTTATGTGGAAGGGAAAAGTGGAAGGAAAAGGTGCACAAGCAGCAAGGATGACCGCAGCCTGGAGAGGATTGTCAGGAAAAGGCCATTCAAAAGTGTTGGGGACTTTCACAAGAAGTGGATTAAGGCTAGAGTCAGTGCATCAAGAGCCACCACACACAGACGGATCCTGGACATAGGCTTCAAATGTCGTATTCCTCTTGTCTAGCCGCTCCTGAACAACAAACAACATCAGAAGCGTCTTATCTGGGCTAAAGAAAAACAGACCTGGTCTGTTGCTCAGTTGTCCAAAGTCCTCTTTTCTAATAAGAGCAACTTTTGCATCTCATTTGGAAACCAAGGACCCAGAGTATGGAGGAAGAATGGAGAGGCACACACTGCAAGATGCTTGAAGTCCAGTGTGAAGTTTCCACAGTCTGTGTTGATTTGGGGAGCCATGTCATCTGCTGGTGTTGGTCCACTGTGCTTCATTAAGTCCAGGGTCAACGCAGCCGTCTACCAGGAGATTTTGGAGCACTTCATGCTTCCTTCCGCAGACGAGCTTTATGAGGATGGTGACTTCATTTTCTAGGAGGACTTGGCACCTGCCTACACTACCAAAAGCACCAAAACCTGGTTCAATGACCGTGGGATTACTGTGCTTGATTGGCCAGCAAACTCGCCTGACCTGAACCCCATAGAGAATCTATGGGGCATTGCCAAGAGAAAGATGAGAGACATGAGACCGAACAATGCAGAAGAGCTGAAGGCTGCTATTGAAGCATTCTGGTCTTCCATAACACCTCAGCAGTGCCACAGGCTGATAGCTTCCATGCCACACCGCATTGAGGCAATAATTGCTGCAAAAGGGGTCCAAACCAAGTACTGAGTACATATGCATGCTTATACTTTTCAGAGGTCTGATATTGTTCTATGTACAATCCTTGTTTTATTGATTGCATGTAATATTCTAAATTGTGGATTTGGGGTTTTCATGAGCTGTAAGCCATAATCATCACAATTATGACAAATCGCGGCTTGAACTATCTTGCTTTGCATGTAATGAGTCTATCTCATATATTAGTTTCACCTTTTAAGTTGCATTACTGAAATAAATGAACTTTTGCATGATATTCTAATTTTTGGAGTTTCACCTGTGTGTGTGTGGTATATATATATATATATATATATATATATATGTGTGTATATTGTGACATGGGACAGTTATCTCCCATTGTAGATGCGTTATTTTCGGGAGTCCACGGCAGATAGGAACTATTTTTAAGGGCTTGGTAGCCCACTTTTATTAAAAAAAAAAAAAAAAGTTTACTTCTCTTAAAGTGGTAGTAAACCCCCGGACAAAGGACAAAACAATGGGCCTTCCTGCAGGTTTAGGTCATAATGTACTAATATGCATACTAGTACATTATGACAGACTTACCTGTACACGGAGCCCTCCAGCACCTCACTGTCATGGCTCCCTGGCACCGCCATCTTTACCCAGTCTTTCCTTCTTGGTTTGCGCACTCCAGCAGTATGGATGGCCTGAGCCGTGATGATGTCACTTCCACGCATGCGTGTGGGAAGCATCGGCTGCAACATGGAACTCTGACATCACCGGCTGCATGCCATGTGAATATCTCCTAAACGGTGCAAGTTTAGGAGATATTCACTGTACCTACAGCTACGCCTTATTATAGGCTTACCTGTAGGTACAACTTAAAAAGTGGACTTTACTTCCACTTTAAACAGAGGATAAAATCATTCAGGTAAGCATGTCCAATGGTTATGCGGTGGATGAACTGAGGTGTGGTTTCTTTGAGTGGAAAGATTTGCACAGGATCATAGTTTAAGGCTCCATTTACATTTGTGCGACTTGGCATGCAACTTGGGACATCAAAGTTGCATGAGAAGTCACAGCCCATTCTTTTCAAAGGCACTTATTCAAATCTGTGCAACTTGAAGTCGCAGTGATTTTAAAAAGGTTTCTGCGCTACTTTGATATGACTTTTGGTGTGACTTTGAACCGAGTTTGCTTGATCAAAGTCACATCAAAAGTCACATCAAAGTAGCGCAGAAGCCTTTTCGAAATCACTGCGACTTCAAGTTGCACAGATTTGAATGGGGGCCTTTGAAAAGAATGGGCTGTGACTTCTCATGCAACTTTGATGTTCCACGTTACATGACAAGTCGCACAAATGTGAATGGAGCCTTAAACTATGATCCTGTGCAGATCCTGTGCAGACTGGAAATTATGCGACTTTGGAGATGTGCTAATGTGAATGAAGCCTAAGAATGATATTTCTACACTGCTCATTTAACTGTGGATGGTGGACTTTATTACGCAGATTTGGACTTTTTGTTTTAGGTTTTATCATTTAACATTTTTTTTTAACGAGGGCAGCACTTGTATCACCTGTTTATTTACCAATCTATATCTGTTGGTGTACTAGCAGCTAAGGGTTAATTTATTCCTTTGAGCGCAATTCCTTTGTTACCAAGTCATGTTTTATATTAGTGCAGTGCTACTTTGGAGCATCAAAGAAAAATGTGTAACTCTTTGTCTCACTGCTCCTGTTTTGGTCTTCCTCGCTGTGCCGCAGTATTGATAAATCGCCTCCTAAACTGGCAAAACTCTTGCTGACTGGTTCCTTAGGTGACCCTATATTCTAATACTATTGCAGTTATTACAGCCGGTATGTTGAGTGTATGAAAACTCTGAAGACTACAATCATAAAAGATACATAAAGGCAACTTAAATATTGTGCTGTCTAAAAAAAATGCCAGGGGACATTTATTAAAACCTGAAGACATAAACAGAGGAGGTGTTGCCTGACTATCTATTTTAATGAACTGTTTAATGCCAGTCATAAGCAGTTTAGAGATTTTACTTGTCTGGCCTCAGATAACCCGTGCTGCATTTCCTTCACGTTCGGACTGATTTCTACTGCCATTGGATAGCAGATTCCAGCCAAGGTTAATTGCTGTTTTATATTTGTATTTAATTCACTCTAGCCACAGCAGTTTTGCACAGAGTAACAAGAGGACCTGCAGTTTATCACTTGACATGTGGACATCACTGAGACCCTGGTCAATAATAGGACTGCAACAATTGTTCCACTTTTGCCAAACCATGCGCAATGTTTATATTTCATGCTTTATCATAATTGTTTTTTTTTGGGGGTTTTTTTTGGGCAGGATGATGCATCGGGAAAGTAATGGTGCTCATTCTATTTCTCTCCAATGCCAAGATGGGCTCTTGTGTGCATGTTAATACTTGCACACAACAATCCATTGTGTTGTGGTGCATTGCCAAACATTTTGAATGGCACCCAAGTAGACATTTTCAGTTTAAAGGAATGCATCACTCCTTCAGTGCGCCACAATGCACAGATTTAAATGCAGTGTGTGTTGCTTTCCAATGCAATGTGCTCCATTTCGAAGAAGTGAAGGCACATTTTTTTCATATGCTGGGGCTTATTAAATTGAGGGCCCAAACATACTTTTTTGCCATTTTCGATTTAAATAAATGAAAACACATTAAATGCATGTTGATCCAGGTAAGCCAGGAGAATGACACCTCTCTCAGATTAAAAGGGCAGTGGTGTGTTCTCTCCACCACCAGGCTGCTGACTGGACAGTGACAGAGCAGCAGAAGACTGATGAGGTCACTCCTTCTATTATTATATTCCCTGCCATCACATTTGCATGCAAAACACTTGATTGACTCCCAATTACGCCGCTGCTTCACCCACTGTGAGTACTGCTGTGTAGGAGATTGCAAGAATCTGGTACCAAACCAAATATAGGTAGATACTTAAAGGGTAAGGGTCCTTTCACACAGTTGGCGGACCCGTTTAGTGGATCCGCTTGCTCAGCAGGGGGATCTCTCGGCTGATCCCTGCTGAGCAAGTGGATGACAGCTCTGTCTGCTCCGCTGCTGCAGAACAGACACAGAGCTGCTCGCTTTCCTCAATGGGCAGTCGGGTGAAAGCGGACCGCCTGTCTGTTTTCATCCAACCCGATCCGACGGACAGAAGGGTAATTGGAATACCATCCATCCCTTTTTGGCGGATTGGATCGAATGTCGGCAGGTGCAAACCGACACGTCCATTTATACCCGCCGCTGCATAGAGGAGAATGGAGGTTCCGATCGGGTCCACCTGAAAAACGGGCAGGTGGACCTGATTGGAATGTCCAAGTGAAAGAGCCCTATCTCCTCTTTTGTGGAAAGAAGTACAGAAAAAAAAATATAGAGTTTGCAACTACCACATAAACCATGTTTTAATGTAATATTAATACAAATTGCTGTAGTCAAAATGTATGGAAGTAATTCATGATCAGGGATGTGGCACACTCGAAAAGAGCCTCTCTCAGTAACATCAGTAAAAATGAACTTTCCTGTTCAATCTGCAGCTGCTGTAATTTTCTGTAAAAATGATTGAAATATGGCTACCTAGTGGTGATTTGTACACTGTCATTGTAGAGAATGCCCCAGACATGTCATTCCCTGCTTGTGTAATTAGCTTACTGGTTTTCCCTGAAGTCTGCACTAAGATAAAAGTCAACTTTTAAGCACCTCCTGCAATTGGAATTTCAATTTTCACGAGTTATTGATGCAGACTCTGCAGCTTTTCTTATTAGCACACTGGGTTGGGAATTTATCAAAAGTGCAGCAGCTAGAATCTAGAACAGCTGTGTATGGCAACCAATCAGCTTCTATTTTTCATTTTCAAAACAAACTGAACAAGCTGAAAGTAGCTAATTGGTTACAATGCACAGCTGCTCCATATTCTGTTTGCTAAGCCTGGCAATAGATACACCAGTTATTTTGATCAACCACAAGGCTGATCGCAAAAATGGAATGCATTCCCCCATCCACACAAATGAGTTAGATGGAGGAATCCTCCCCACTGTGTTACTCCATTCTGACACCGAGGACTCCTCTGCTATCAGAATACACTGATCTGTGTTGCTGCTGATTGGCTGTAGTGCTGATTGAAGGAAAATATCCTGAAAAGCCAGTTCGAGAGAAGTCAATCACTAGGATCAACTTCTCTGGAATGGGAACTGCCATAGATGGATCTAAATTTCGGCTAGTCCCTGCTGCACTGGCCAAATTTAGATTTATCTGTGGCCTGCTGAAAGTGTTACTAAACCCAGGACCCCGCATTCACTATATTTGGTCTCCCACAGTACACAGAACATGGAAATGCAATTATTTTAGTAAATATAAACTACTAAATACCTTTTTTCAGTACTGCAGTATATAGCAGTCTTGTGATTTCTATCAGTGTCCAGCAGAGCACTGGTTAAAGCTTGTAGGAGGAGTTTTCTTTCTGCTCTAGGAGGATGCAAAACCCCTGACCTCTGTCTGAACAGTGCTGATTGGCCCTGTGCTGATCACATGCACTCTCCCAAGAAAAAAAAACCTCTCTAGCAATACACACTAAACTGAACATGTGCAGAATGGCTACAGGTTCAGTCTCTCTTATCAGGAGATAAGATGTTGACATTTGAACAAGAGGAGGAGCAGAGAAGATAGAATCAAATGGCTTTTTTACACAATGCAAAGGATTAACCCTTTACGTTCCACAGTGAGTATAACAAGCATTTTTTATTGCATATACAGACTGATTTTACTGTTGTGGGTTTAGTAATACTTTAAGTGTGCACCAGCTGATTATAATGAACCAGACCCCCCCCCCCCCCCCCCCATTTAGAATCAATCTGTAGAGGACATGGTGAGGCACCTGCAAACAAACTATGTTCACATTCTTGCCATGTACATTGATCACCTAGAGAGGGTAGTTTCTCAACAGAAGTGGAGTTACTACTTAAGTTAAACTCAAGACAAAACTTTTTTTTAGATAGTGTAAGGGAGGGTTATAACCCCTGTCAGTTTTTTCCGTGTCACAATGGGGAGATCTTGTATCCCAAAGTCAAAATGGGGAGTGAGAGGAGATCCCTCCAAAGTGAGGGAATCCCTGGTTGTCACCAGGGTCACAGAACTAATAAATCCCCATTGGAAAATTACCCCTCTATTCCTGTTCTAGTGACAACTCGAAATTTGAGATTTTCTTTCACTTTCATATTCACTCTTGGCGAGAATAGTGAATTGCTCTAAAAAAAAGACGCAAACAGTAAAAACATAACATGTGTTTTAATCCTTCTTAACTCTATCCAAAACAAAAACAAAAACCTTTGGTTATACTTAAAGCTAGCTACATTTGAAAAAATACATGAATGATTTATTAGTGAATACACAGCTGCATTAATGCGTATGTGTTATGTCTACCTGGAGTTCAGTTCAGCTTTAATAGAAGAGCAGATTTCAGGTATTTATATTAGCAGCATTAATAAATGAATACATAACTGGGCTAAATGATGCTTAGTGTATTTGCCTGGAGATCAGTGTGCATTACGAAGAGGCATTTACAAGAGCCAAAACACGGTAATGAATGTGTAGAGCGAAAAGCCATTTACCTGTCTCTGCTTTTTGTTTTCGGGTTTGATGTTTAGAAGAACAATATCTTTCTATAGCCTGTAGCGGAAAATAAAACCTATCTCAGACGACATGCTGTTTCCGTAGGAAGAAAAATATCCATTAAACTTAGTGAAGATCCACATAATGGGGATTCCTTCCCCCATCCTTTTCCTTTGATTAGAGGAAGTTGGTCTCTTCTGATACCAGGGGTTTAGTAACATTGGTTGCATTGCAGCAGGTGTCAGTCACACATACAGTGTGATATAATTGTGATTATATTGTGGCCAAGGAGAAGCCTATGTTAGAAGAAAGAAATAGGTTGTCCTTGATGACCTGCCATTCTTACAAAGCTCATTGCCTGGCTGTCATGCTGATCTGATGGCGTCAATACTCTCTGAGTCACTGGCCCAGGAAATATATACAGAACAGGAGTACTGACTTGACAAATTATGACCCAAAGAGTGCTTAAAATGTTACCCACAATATTAAAATCAGTCTGTATATGCAGTAAAGCAGGCTTGTTATACTCACTGTGGAACCTAAGGGGTTAATCCCCAACATTGTGAAAAAAGACTGTTTGATTCTGTCTTCTCTGATTCTCCCCTTCCTTTACTGTCCCCAATCCATCTGCCATAGTGCAGAACAGCAGTGGAAAGTCTGCAAATGCTCTGTTTGGTGTGTATTGCTAGAGAAGGGATTTTTTTGGGGGGCGGGTGCATGTGATCGGCACAGGGCCAATCAGTACTGTCCAGAAAGAGGGTCAGGGGTTATGCAGCCTCAAAGGACAGTCAGAGGAGAATGAAAATTCCTCCTACAAGATTAACCAATGCTCAACCACACACTGATAGAAGTCACAAGACTGCTATATACACCTGATGCGAAAAAGTAGTTAGTTGTTTATGTTTATTCTGCAACCAATGGCTGCAGTACTGATCAGTGTATTCTGACGTATGGGGAGTCCCCGCTGTTGGAATACAATAGAGCATTGGGGGTAGATAATTGCATCTACATAATTTTCTTGAGTACAGGGATCTGTGAGGTTTTTTTGTTCAACCTGCTGGGGTCCAGGATACCTGACAACTGTATGAAAGTAAAGTTATGCTTTAAAATAGATATCTAGGCAAGTCAACATGCCCCCTGTGAGTCAATGCGTGAGCTCTCCAGTCAGCAAAGCCAATGCTCCCTGTTCATTGGAGACCTGTAGATCTCACTTACTGAGGTCATGTCAGACTGCTGCAGAAACATTGTTGCACTCAGGAAGAGTACAGCGTTCATTCCATACAGTCTACTGGCTGAGGACTGGCTGTTTTAAGAGATGGCATAGATTTAGAAACAAAGCAAACAGTAAGATTATGTACACATAGGGCGAGATTTACTAAAACTGGTGAATCTGGTGCAGCTGTGCATAGTAACCAATCAGCTTCTAGGTTTTGTTGTCAAAGCTTAAAGCGATTCTAAAAGTTCATTTTTTTTTTTTTCAAATAACAAACATGTCTATACTTACCTACTGTGTGCAGTGGTTTTGCACAGAGCCTGAATCCTCCTCTTCTTCTCGGGTCCCCTGCAGGCTCTCCTAGCTCCTTCTGTCAGTCGGGTGCCCCCACAGCAAGCAGTGTGTCCAATCACACACAGAACTGCGGCTTGGCCTTGTCCCCTCTCTCTCTCCTCATTGGCTGACTGGCTGTGATTGACAGCAGCAGGAGCCAATAGCTCCCGCTTGCTGTCTCAGCCAATGAGGAGGCAGAGACCTGGGACAGCCGAGGCTGTCATTCACATCGCTGGATCGTGATGAGGCTCAGATAAGTATTAGAGGGACTGGGGGGGAACTGCTGCACACAGAAGGTTTTTCACCTTCATAAATAGAATACATGAAGGTAAAAAAACCTTCAGCCTTTACAAACACTTTAACCACTTGCCCTCCAGAGGATTTACCCCCCCCCCTTCCTGACGAGGTAATTTTTCACGATACGGCGCTGTGTTACTTTAACTGACCATTGCACAATCATGCAACACTGCGCCCAAATGTCCTTTTTTTCCCACTAATGGAGCTTTCTTTTGGTGGTATTTGATTGCCTGTGTATTTTTTATTTTTTGGCTATAAACAAAAAAAGAACAATTTTGAGAAAAAAACAATAACTTTGACTTTTTGCTATTAAACATGTCCAGTAAAAAAATAAAAAAAAAAATCAAATTTCATCAAAAAAATTTAGGACTAAATGTATTCTCCTACATGTCTTTGCTAAAAAAAAAATCCCAATACGTGTAAATTAATTGGTTTACATGAAAGTTATAGCATCTAAAAATGGCGGTATATATACAGAAATTTTTTTTTTATACTAGTAATGGCGGCGATTAGCGACTTATAGCGGGACTGCAGCGGGCATTCTGACACTGGGAGGGAACTGACTAACTGTCACTGACATCCCCAGTGACACTAATACAGTGATCAGTGCTAATAAAAAGCACTGATACTGTACTAATGGCACTGGGCAGGAAGTCAACATCTGGGGCGATCAAAGGGTTAACTCTCTGCCAGGGGCAGACTGACAACTCATGGGGCCCCCGGGCAATAGGGGATCATGGGGCCCCTGTGTCCTTGCCCAAACTCAAAAAAGCCTATGAAAAAGATACCAATGGCATCTCATGGGGCCCCCTACTGACCCCGGGCCCTCAGGAACTGCCTGAGTTTCCAAATGATCAGTCCTCCTCTGCTGTGTGCTGTTTTACTGTGTGCTGTGTGTGTGTGCTTTATTGTGTCAGCACATTGCTATGCAGAGCAATACAAAGCACTGTGCAGGAGCTGGCAGGGAGAGATCTGTATTGTTTACATACAGGTCTCTCCCCCGTCAGTGATACTTGGCGATTGCCAGGTGCCGGCAGGGAATCACTGGCTGGGACCCGGTGATCGACAGCTGAGGGAGCCAGTGGTGGCGTAGGTAGGGCACACTCGCGCCCCCTAGCTGGAAATGTAAAATCACATATGTATGTATATATGTATATATATATATATATGTGACTTTAATGTATAGACTGTGTAGCGAGCGCTAATGTAACAAAATATATATACAAATTATGTATAAAAGCCGCTAGAACACCAAAAAGGCAACCAAAAAAACCTTCCAGAGAAATATAGAAATAATAAAGTTCATCTATACAGTATCACACTATGTGGTGTCCCTTATTGGGCTCTCTTTGTGAGCACCACCCTCCGCAGTACCTACCCTAAAGTGGGACCCCGGACGTTCTGTGATTATCTGATGAACCCTGGAGCCTTGCTATAACAGATGACCAGAGGATGTTAAGGAATGCAGCCTGACCAGAATGCAGATGACCTAGATGTATCTGATGGCAAAGGAAACTTCTTTCATGCGTATTTAATACGCACTTCTGGTGCGTGCGCATTCTACTTATTTAATTATCTTCACCTCTGGATCACGTATTATCACCGTTATACGCAACTCTGGGAGCTGGACATTATATTGTGATCATTAACAATTATATATTCCATATTGTGCTCCATATAACAATATTTGCACATTATATATCTCATTTTCTGCTGACATTTGCATGATATTATTCCTATTCTTAGCGCTGCACCTTTATTATTTCTATATATGTGACTTTGCTTAGCCCTGCCACCCTGTAGCAGTATTTCTACTATAGGGAGACGAGAAACCGGTTAATGGAAAAGGATAATTGGTTACAATGCACAGCTGCACAAGATTCTGTACCAGTTTAGTAAATCTCCTCCATATTGTTTTTCCCCCTGAATGGATTGACATTATGTAATATGTAGGTTCAATTGGACTTTAATGATTTTTTTTTTTTCTTGCTGAGGCGATCATGAACTGCATTGTATTTGTACGTAGCCTGTGGTCTACAAAATCTGAAAAAAAAATGTGAACACGGTTATTACAGTGTTCCCATTTTGCTTTTATTGCACTGAAAACAGCACTTTACCTGACACTGAGCAGAAAACTGGCTCAGCATCCTCACTCACACCGAGAGGGTGGATTAGAGAGAGAGGTGTCTGATGGAAATCTGTTTTCTGTTCTTTCAATAAAGTGTCTCTTCTCTGCAAATATTATACCCTGATAGAGCTACACCGAGCACCTAGACAGCAAAGAAACCTCCAACACCTCCAGCATACAGTATTTCCTTGCTCTGCGG